TTTTGATTTTTCAAAAGTTGATAATCCTGCAGCAGAAGATATGGCAAATCGGTTGTCAGAGTTACATGCAATAATGAAGACGCAATTGAAGGAAGCTCAAGAACGACAAAAGATAAACGCAGATCTATATCGTAAGGAGCAACTACAACTCAACGTGGGTGATAAAGTATGGCTACTTCATTGCAATATCAAGACTACTCGACCTTGTGACAAGTTGGACTATCGTAGGCTTGGCCCCTTTTCTGTTTCTGAACAGATCAACCCAGTTGCATATCGGTTACATCTACCGGAGTCAATGAAGATCCATCTTGTATTCCACGTATCTCTTCTTGAACCATATAAGATAGTCGATATACAAGGAAGAAGACAAATGCCACCGCCTCCTATAGAAGTAAATAATAATGAAGAATTTGAGGTGGAAGAGCTATTAGACTCGAGGCGGCGCCGAAATAAGCTGGAATATCTTGTTCATTGGCACGGATATGATATTAGTGAACGCACATGGGAGCCATCTAGGAATCTAGCAAATGCATCAGCTAAAGTCAAAGTTTTTCATTAACGACATCCATCAAAATCAAGATGAAAATCTCTCTTATAAAAGAGACAAGATTGAGGCAAGATAACATTCAATTTCCTATCCTTGTTTGTAACTTCTTTGCATTTGTGATGCTAATTAGATGGAGAGCCAACAATCAGCAGATTCAACTCAAGAACCTTCGTTTGCTGACTTATCAGATGAGACATTGCGATTGTCACAACCTTCAAGACGACGCAACCGAGATGAAGACCCTCAAGAACGACATGTTCTTCCTCGAATAGATGGTGAGATACAACGCGTTTGGTATCACGATTTGGGAAGGGACTCCCGATGTTTGGTGATTTTGCTAGAGGTAGGAACAACTCCTGATGGTGTTCCAAATATTCTATTCGAAGGAAGTTACGAAGGCCTCAACAATGATCAAATAACTGGGTGGTCTTCCCGCCCTGGTATGGGACACTACCGATGGTTGAGAGGCCCTATCAATCATCTTCGAAGAGAACAGAGATCAGAGTATGTGGCGAATACAATTCGTCGCATCATAGATTTTCTCAACATATGATGACCGCTCCTCGTGGAACTCGTCCCTAGAAGGGGAGGTAATGTCACGGCCATAATCATGTAAGCTAATAATTACATATAGAAATAGGTAGAAGTAAGTAAAAATAGGTAAAAGTAAGTTAATTCTATAATATTAAATATGAAAGCTTCCTAAAAACTTCTTAGATGCTGCTTTGACTTCATAGGTGTCTTTAATTGACTTTTTGGATTAGAAACGTGGTCAACAAGTTGGCCATGTGCCACACATGTTGTTAGCTTGAAGATCAAGCTAACTATGTGGCCCACACGAAGAAAAACTTGCCTTGTAAGTCAAGGCATGTGTCCTACAAAGTCAACACCTATTGGAGGTCCTATAGAACGTCGCCACGTAGCTCTTAGTTAGATAGTATATATAGAGACAAGAGTGAAGGCTTCTTCACTCTTGTCAACTCCTTTCTTGCTTCTAGTCTAGTTTCAAGGATCTCTAGTTTTCTTGTCTTTTGGCAATAGCCATTCCAGTTTCTCTTTCAATATATATATTTGTTTATTTATCTCTCTTTGAGTGAAGGCTCACTTGTCTGAATTGTTTTTCATCGAGTTCTTGTCCTTGACAACAAGATCTATGATAAAATCTATAGAAATGAAAGAATATGGTTGTTCTAGAATAAATAATGACTAAAGAAGTTCATAAAATTGATGACAAGGAATTTTGGATCTTGAACAAATATCACATGATTGTACAAAGTCTTTAACTACTTTTGACATTTGAAACCACGTAAAATCTTTAGATATTAGCTCTCCAAAGTCTTATTGTATCTAAAATATTTGGTTGCTGAAAAGTCATGACAAGCTTGAAGAATACATAATTATATTTTGTCTTTAAGAATATATAATCATTCTTCAAAATAAAATAAATTATTTTTGAACTCAAACTTGAAAGTATCATAAGATTTAGAAGAATTTTTCTTGATATCATAAATAAGAAGATCAAAAGATATACTTGATTGAATTTGTTTGATAAAAGTTGAATCAACAATCAATGTTGATTTTATTGCTCAAAGATGAAAATGCTCTAACTTCAAGAGAATTATTTTTTTTTTATCAAAAGTTGCATCTCTTTCTTTTGATATAAGATAAGAATATTTAGAAAGGACATTTGACAAATCTTGTTGTATTTTAGGTCAATAAATGATTTTGAAATCAAATCTTAATAAAGATATGCTCCAACAATCTTATTAATGATTCAAAATACGTGTTGACATGAAGTATTTAAGATTCTTGATTCTTGATAAGAAAGATCTTGGATTTTTGAGATAATTTGATTTTGTTTTATTAGTATCAAAGCGAGTGTTAGAATGTTTACTTTTGATAGCGTGTCAATAGTCATCATTTATTCTAAGGTCAATTGTTGTGATCACATTGGATACTATATTGAGGCTACCATGAGCTAGTCTTAAAAAGTCAATTGAGATGTGAAAAGGCATAATAATAGTGGAATTCAAGAGAGAAATTATAATATAAAAGATATGGCAGAGCAATCCTAAATGGAGGCTCAAATACAACACTTCTTAGGCTAGATAGCTACTTTGCAAGGACAAATAGAAGCCATCAGGATAAGAGAGTTGACATCTATTAGGTTGAAATTAAGTAAGCCTAGTACATATTCTAGGACTTAAAGATAAGAAGATGTATATCAATGGTACTTCAACATGCAATAATACCTTCAACTATCTAAAGCAAATACCATTGGAACCATATCTGATTAGATGCTCCAAAAGGCCTTGATTAATCCTATTTATATTTTGTTCTATCACCTTGGACTTTCTAAAATGTTCTTAGATAATGAATCTCTTGATTGTTTTAGTTTTAATTCCAAGCTGATCTGTAATTTTAGTTGAGATGTAATTTTTTGTAGAGCTATAATCTACAAGCAATCGATATACCTCTCCTTTTAATAGTCTTGTTAGATACACAAGTTGATTCTTTTTATACTTATCTAAGGCTATGCCATTTGTCTCTGAGAGACAATAGCTATCTCCAATACTGGCCCTCGGTGCTTTTATTGAGGAGCCTCGTTTTTAAACTCTAACTCATTATCGAGCTGATGAGTTTTAAGACTCTGAATCCACCTTATTTTTGCACAAGGTGACTCTTTGTACCTTTGTATCAAGTAAAGAAGAAAATACAACATGAATAACTCATATATATAGTGGTTCCAAATCTTGCATCAATAGTAGAAAAGATAGCCAAAGGAATAGAATGGTGTCGTGTTGTGGTTTGGCTATTATATGAAAATAATGTGTTTATATATTTAATACTTAATATACTACACAACGTAGTAAAAGCCATGTTACTGGATTTTAATTGATTATAGAGTGTGGTTAAATTACTACTTTAAAAGGAGGTTGTTTACAAAGATTACTATTAGAATTTAAATGACTTTATTTTTTTTTATATTGACTTTTGAAGTTGATCTTATTAGTAGTAACTTTTAAATATTTAAAGTCACCTTGGTTAGATATTAGTAATCCTTAAAGTCTTATTTTTTTCTTTTATATAGTGTTTAGGACATATATTGTATAAATCTTATAAAGAAAAGATTTGGAGAAGAATTTTGGTAGCAAAAAGAGAGTTTAAGACATCCATATGGATAAATGGAGATAGATGATGAAAATCTCTATTCCTATTAGCTAAAAATCATGCCCAATGGGCTTCAAGGAGGCTATTTGAGGCCTTATTAGAAATTAGGGTTATACATTTGAGCCATTTGAGCTTTTGGAGGCTAGAGTCAGCAAGTTTAGGTTTTTGACTATGGTTTTGGTGCAAATTTTGTGTGATTTGGACTTTATAAGAAAGAGATATGAGCGTTCAAAGTTAAGGTATTGATTTTGTACTTACTGCCACTCTTTTGGACATAATGTGCACATACAGAAAGCAATAAAGGATTCACAATTAGTATTGGAGAGAATATTTTTGTCGCTATATTTTTGGCATACTATTTGATGGATTCTAAGTTGGAATGAAGGAGATATTGGAAGATGAAGTCAGCACTTCAAATCTAAGGATAGTAAGTGATCTGATTTACTAGTGGTTGTGTTTTGAGCTATATCTTGAGTAATTTGATAAGATTTTGGCTAAATGTTTTTTGAAATGTGTGTAATCATGTTAGTAAAATTTACAAATTTTGTCGCATTTGGATTTTGGATTTTTGACATATCAAGAAAATAATTTTTGGGTGCTTGTAGATTAGGATTTAGAGCACTTACGAGGATTTCTAAGATGCCAAAAGATCGGTAATTAGATTAGATCTAGCATTGCAAAAATGTGTGAGAGAGGCATCAACAACTAGTGCTTATACCAGAGCCTTGTTTGACTCTTTTGCATCTCTATCACTACACTTAGTGCTTTTAATTGTGGATAGCATTGTGAACTTCTATTCAACAAAAAGTTCTCTACTTCAGTAATTGCCAATCAACATATGTGAACCCATTTTGATTCACCTACCACAGAAATGCAAAAACAACCAGAAAACATTTTTTTGGACTAGTTTTGAAAATATTATTCATAAACTGTAGAAGAAAATTATGTCAACAAAAAAAAAGCATGGAAACATTAGACATGGGTCACGAGAAAAAGCCGAAAAGACGCTTTACACCAACTATACAAAGACCCAAAGGCGAACACGTGGAACGCTGTGCCACGTGGACACGTTAGCCGATGGAGTTAGCCCCGCCACGTGAGACCTGGTGGAAAAGCCCAGAAGCCCTATTCACACTGGCTTCTGACCAGAGTCACGCACGCCCTTTCTCGCAGCGCAGCAGAAGCTTTGACCTCACGGAACAGGGGAAGGAAGCCGCTGACGATGACGCCGCTGGTGCAATCGACCCCCCAGTCAGCCAAACGCAGGGAGTCAAAGCAATTCCAGACGACGCTGAGATTGTCGATGCCACGCCCCTTTGGTGATGCACGATTGAAGCCCAAGGTATTGGCATAGTTGGATTATTTTGGGTGTGCCGTGATTGATTAGGGTTACAGGGAATTGTGATCGTGGGAATTGTTGGATTTGTTGTTGAGAGCGAGCGAGAGTGTGAGAGAAAGAGGTTTGGTTTTGTTGCGCGATATATTTCGTGGGTATGACGGGTGGTGAGGAGAATGACGACTGGGAACCGCCGCCGCGGCGGATGTCTACCATGGGTGTTGAGATAGAGCCTGACTTGGAGGCGCCTCTGCTCGGGTCGTTGGAGTCTCTCAAACCGCAAAGTCGTGTTGCGCCGATCCTTGTTCTGCTCGGTACGTGCTTGTTAGGAGACGGAATAAATTGCTTTCGTCTGAATTTTTTCCGGGTTTGGATTTTGTCGGTGGTGTGTGAACGCATGGTTTGCTGCAGTCAGCAACGTTTATCCTAGCTTTTTGTTTTTGTTTTTTTTGTTTTTTATTTGTCGTGGTACTCGACTTCCTAGCGTATGATGGGTACTCTTCTTCAATTGCAGTTGTAAATGGAAGGCCTCAATAGCAATCTACAGTGTAACTGCTAGAGCGTGTACATTCTCTTGCAAGTTGTAATCTTGCAATCCTCAATGAATTTATGGGAGTGGTCTGGGGTTACGGAGAGCGTTTTGATCATTATTGATTGAGGGTTTCTAGAGTGTATTTCATCTTCTAATTCTCGAGTGCGTTTTATTATGAAGACGTGCTTTTGGGCCTTCGAAACAGAACTGAGTGGAGGATAATACGAATTTACGAGCAATTGATAATTGAACTGTTCGAGGATGTCAGAATGTCCTCTTTAAAAACCATATCCTTGTTTTTGCAGCATTCATTGTCATTGTGATCGCGTTGGCGTCGATGATGGGCAATTTGTCTTCCCGATATGTTTTACGAAGCACCAGTGAACCTAGTAAGAAAGCTAGTTACCCACTTTTTTTTTTCTCCTTCTCTCTTTATTAGCTCTGATCTCACATATGTATTTTGTTATTTAGAGAATCACTATCTTTTAAGGATATTTATCACGTCATGTAGATTACATGATTTTTGTTGCTCAAGCTGCATATTATTGAAGGATGTGCCAAGCTTAGGAATTTACATCGATGATTGACTAATTCTGATATTATAAATTGAGATTGATCACTCCTGGAAGTTGCTAGATGAAAATTTTCTTTATGTAAGGGAACGAATATGTTCAAATTTATCTCTGTTTCAGCTTCAATGGTTCTAACTTGCTGAAAATTTTCTGGAATGTCAGGTCCTCAAATACCATGATAGGTGAGGTGCGCAAAAGTATCACCTAATCTTAGACTTTGGCCGAATGGCTGTAGGTCTAGGATATGGCATGCTTATGAACAGGACATTGGTACGTGAAGCAACAAAACGTACATTCCGCTTCCTTCGTTAATTATCTTTGGCTATCAACGGTCTGGAGAGTGCATTGGATAGGAGACTCACTTTATTAAGCTTTTGTGAATACATTGTTTAGTATCTCCGAACAGTCATCTACTTCTCGAGAAGAGGTCTTAGTAGGCGTCAGGTGGGAATGGGATGATGGGGTTCATTGCAGAAGTACTGCTTTAGCAAGACGAAAACTGTATGCTTGTAGAGGATTTTTTTAAGTGCTCTCACTAGCCTGATTTTCCCAAGAACCATGGAATTCTGGACTGATTGATGGGCTTTCAAAGTTGACCGCCTTAAAATGTGTCAGTACAGTTACAGTTTCATATGCTGCGCTGCTGTAGTCCTTCGATTCTGCTTATTTGTGGTTACAGCTGTGGAAACACTGCAGTGTATGACAGTAGGTTGGATGATGCAGCATTGCACGTTTATCCATTTAACTTACTCATATGCCCTTGCTTTTCTTGGACTTGTTTGGTAAACATCATACAACGAGGAGTTTGCGGGCCCAGTTTTAACGTATTTAGCTCGACACAAAATGCCATTTTTTTTTGCAATTTGATGCTAATTTCTTGTCTTCGAGAAGTTTCAACGGGACGACTCATTGAATGATACAGTGAAAACATGGCAAGATATGGAACATCAAGTGGTACCTTGTCAGCGGAAGAAAATGCATGAAATCTAACGTTCACAGAGGTAAAAAATCAGGATCCTTGACTCAAGCATTAGTGCACCAAGTGCATGCATGGGATATTATCTTATATGTATAAATGATCGTTTTCATCAATTGGTTTATGGGATGGAAATAGTGTTCTGAAAATGTTTGTTCAATTTGTGATTTCATGAGCAACATTAGCAATATTTTCTACATTGTTATGCATGCAAACATACATGTTTCATTCCACAGGTGTCATCTCAAGCTACTTGTAATTGTGAGAAGACTGCACTATTCCTTTAAATAAAATAGGAGATATTTGATCTCATATTTATCATTCATATTTTCGTTCGCTTATTCCATGTCACAAAAATGAATAGAATCATATCTCGCATTCTATTTAATGAAAAACTTTGGCATTTCAAAATCTAAACATGAATTGCAATGCTTTTGTTCAGTGCATTCATGCAGTAGCATTCATTTTGAAAGAAATATGAGATGTTTGCGTGAATGAAATTAAATATTTATTAACAATATTTTACACAACATGGGTACATTTACTCATACAGAAGTAAAAACTTAGTAATTAAAGAAACATAAAACATTAATTGATTTTAAAAAAAACAACAGCACAAATGATTGTCCTTGTAACATTAACATCTATATTCCAAGCTTTGTAGACATAACATCATCAATTTTATTTTTTTCAAGTAACATACAATATTATATAGTATTATCTTAATTAAAATCAATGTGTTGGCATCTATAGATTAAAAGAATTTCTTATTTATCAATCCATGTTACATTAACAATGAAAGTTTAATCTTTTACATTTTATCTGAAATGCTCATTATTTTTTACTAAAAACTATTATTTATTACCTCCATTTCTATATGTGTATATATATTACACACACAAAAATCCATGACTTTCAACATTTGGTATGTTTTAATAAGACTTGGATATGCTTCTAATAAGTTTTTGGTGCTTGTTGTATCTCAATGAATTTGGACTCTGTGAACTCTAATTGCATCATTGTGCTCAATAAATTCTGATATTTTTCTGCATATAAATGAATCTTCAATATCTCAACTGTATATAATGACTTGATAAGTTGCAACATTCAGTGTATTTAGAAAACTGCGGTTTTCTTTTAATTGGGTTATGTTCTAAGCAAGCCTGTTGGAACTTATATTGTTAAATCCTATACATAATATTCCATAATTGTGTGTTACACAAGGACATTATTTGGTGTTCAAAATAATAATTACATTTGTGCATTAATAAAGAATTGGAGAACTGAATTATGATAACATGAATAAAATTAATTAAGACATAAATGGTTCTATTTTTAGATGATAATATCTTAATAACCACAATATTTCCAATCTATATAGGTTGATATATATATATATATATATATATATAAAATATATATACACACACACACACACATGGCCATGTAATACTTTAATGTAGATTACCAACCAACGTGTCAGATACTTTTGAAAAGTCCATAAAGAATCTTCTTCAATATCTTCTAAAAGCTGACATTCATTTTCACAGTATATTTTACTTTTTTATAAATTTTTTTCTTTGTCTCGATTATATTTTTTTATTATTTTGTTTATTGATATTGAGTTTTATTAAGAAGAATAACCTCAAATTATGAATAATATATATATATATATATATATATATATATATTCGTACACAATCTGTATAAATTATTGAATTAAAATTCATGGATAAACAGTTTTTAAAGAATTGTAACTATGTTATATGATGGTTTTAAGGTTTGATTATGTCCTTCATTTTTTCTTTAAACATTCTTTTTTTTTACACGAAAAATATTACAAAAATTTAAAGCTATAAATTATAAAAGGCACAACTGATTAAATTGTAAAATCAAATTTTGTACATGAAAAATAACAATAATATCAAATTTGCATCTTGAAAGAACACTTAATCAAAAAAAAAAAAAAAAAAAAAAAAAAACTCTATTCAAATGGAAAATTTATCTACAGTAGAAGAGACAATCTTATAAATAACACAGACTCATTTGACAGTAATTAATTTCAAATTTCAAATAATCCAAAACAATTTCTTCCTTTACTTGAAAGGTTATATCTGTTATAAAAATAAAACATATATTTTTAAAAATATTTATTTGGAAACTATATATTAAAATAAACTGCTATATTTTTATTAAAGTAAAATAATCTATATATAAGAATTAAAAATGTAAAATATTTTAGAAACATGTAATTAAAAGTTGTTTTTTTTTTTTTTTTTTTTTTTTTTTTTGTTCTTTTATAAAGTTGCTGACATGATTTTTTTCTCTAGTGATTTCTTCAAAATTACATATAAATTCTTTAAAATAGATGAATGGTTTTCTAAATGTGCACAATAATATGTGAGTTTCTAAAAATAAGTATATTTATGTTTTTGAAATTATTCATACAATGTTTTTATTTCAAATATTTTAAAACTTATAGAATAAAATATAAGGAGTTGCTGAAGCAACACCTTGATATGGTTAATACAACACTCCATTTGGATTCTCATGATTAAGTTATATGGTTGTCACACAAAATCTAACTATAGCACAAAAAACATCATGATTAATTTATATGGTAAATGTTGTTTATTTCAAAAAGTTAAAAGTCATGACTGCACTCTTTTTACAAAAACCTCATATTCCAAGTCACATTGTTGCTAATGTGGAGTAGTGTGAGTGAAGAAATGTAAGGTTTTTTTAGAAGGACAATGAGAAGTATTGAGGATGAGGCTTTAATTGATTTGATTAGTCCTCTTGCAGTATTATCATGTTGTAATGTTGGTGACTAAAAGCTCAAGGGGAGATTCTCAAGGCTTCAAGAATTGGAGATAGAGGTAGAGATATGCTCAGATTGAATGTAGATCCAAATAATATGAGTTGTTTGTAAGACTTAGAGGTAGAGTTGGAGATAGAGGTATATTTGGATTGATTATAGATGTAGACGATTTGAATTTTTTTTGATGTGGATCTAAACAACATGAATTGTTTGCAATGCTGTTTAGAGAGACAAGTTTGGTATACTTATTGTTTGTTTTATTTTAATATTATGAAATCATTCAATTGCTTTCTATGCCATTTTTCTATAGTTGGTAGTATTGGTTATAATAGGACTTGTATATTGAATGAATACATCACATTTTTTTTGAAATTATTAAATAGCATATATAATGCTCCAAATGTGTAGCATGTTGGAAGCTATGTGAATAGCTGATTTAAAGATATTTTCTAAAATTACTATCTGAGAGTAAAAATATACTTGCCATAGAAAGTCTTATAAAAGGTGGATAGAACATGTTTTTACAAAAAAAATACTTTTTCAAATTATATTGTAAGATTGGGATAATCAAAGTATTATAAAGACTCATAATTATTACAAAATTAAAATCTATAGATCAAAAATGTTGGTTTTGAAGATTAATTAAAAATGGCTTATATAATATTAATACAATTCAAATGATTGAACATTAATATTCATAGTATTTATAAAATTTTTAATAAATTAGTAGTTTGTATGATATATATAATAATTATTTTATAAATCTTGATCTAAAAAGCATTGAGGATCTTTATTTTAAATACTTCTTCTACCTAAATTTGAGTACTCAATATTCATTAATCTTCTCTAAATTATCTAACAAATTTTTTTTTCTCAATCTTTTTCAAATTATCTAATAGTTTTTTTTTTCTCAATATTATGCCATCATAAAATAGAAATCGATTACTAGTACTTTAATTTGATTAAAGTGAAATTGAAATTGCTATAATATAAATAAAATAACAATCAAGCAAAGGCTCCAATATACACATCTATCTAATTTTTTGCTTGATTAGAATGCTAAAAAGTCTGCTACATCTTTTTTTTGGTAATTTATTGTTAAAAAAAATACTCACAATTATCTATCTCCTTCCAACATGTCTACATACACTAATGTAAGATCTTTGTTCTATAAGACCCAATAAACCATACAACAACTTTTCTTTGCAAGAGCCAAGCTTGGAATAGTTTTAACTATTATACAATAAAAAGAACTTGGTAGTATGGCATTATCTTCAAATATTTATAACCAGCTTATAAATATAAGTCATTAGTTGTTGCAAAGATGTACATCTATTGCAACTTTGTTAAAAAAAATAAAAGAATTATACTTTTAATGTAATTATTTATTATATATATATATATATATATATATATTAATAAATACCTTTATAATTAAGTAGAAGTAAATAAAAGTAAATAAAAGTAGATTAATTTCATAATACCTTCTAGAGAAGCTTCTTAAATGCTTCATAGATGTTCCTTTGACTATACATGTGTTTATAGTTGATTGATAGGTTAGAAACTTAGTCAATAAGTTAATCACATACTGGTAGCTTGCAAAGCAAGTTAATTACATGGCACACATAAAAAAAACTTACCTTATAAGTTAAGATACATATTTTGCAAAGTCAATATGTTTTAGAGGTCCTATAAGACATTGCCACATAGCTCTTAATTAAGAGTATATATGGAGGCAAGAGTGAATCTTTTTTCACTCTTTTCAATATCTTTTTAGTTCTTAATCTTGTTTCAAGAAATTCTTGTCTTTTTTTTTTTGATAATAGCCATTCTAATTCA